CCAACATGTAAGTGAGATTGGCCGTAGATCTTTGTTAAAGTCCGAGACAATTGGCGCTTTGGGTAACGGTGGAACATCGGCCAGTTTCCATACACGAGGTATACTGACTTCAGAGAAAGAGGCGTTCAAGATGTCAGCAATGGGCACTGCCAAGATATCAGCATATTCCTTAAGGACCCAGTTTGGAATGTCATCTGGGCCACTCGCCCGAGAAGTGCTGACCTCGCGAAGCTTCCTCGTGACAGATTGCTTGGTAACTACAATCGGATTATCATCATCTGCTGACACCTGTGCGCCAACTGCCAATGGCGAGTAGTCTTTCATTACGCTAACAAACGCCTGGTTAACTTTTTCAGCTAAAACTGCATCTTCACATACGAGATCTTTGTGGAGCTTGGATTTCAGATCGCACTCAGTAGATTTAGTGGAGCCACAAAGCTGTTTCACTTCTTTCCACCAATTACGAGGCCTGGAAGCACACAGGCCATCAACCTTGTTCTCATAATAGACCCTCCAACAGCGCTTGCGCTCTCGATTCACTTTGTTTCTTAAGATCTTAAATAGGTACTGGTTCCCGGATGCGAATGCCTTCTGACATTGAGCATGATAACAATAATTATCAAGGCCAAAGTTTGTGTAATCTCCCGAAGCCGAAGGCAGAGGTGGATAACACTGAGGCCTTGATAATTATCACTATCATGTGAAAACCAAATCCTATAGTTGTTTCATTATGCATATTCCTGAGCTGCACTTGTAAAGACAAGAGTGCATAAAACTACTGTCTGTAGGTATAACGTCACTTCTACAGACATAAAATTTATTGTCTGTAAGTATGACACAAGGGAATGTATAATAATAACCTTTGATGCTTAGTTTCTTTCATTTTCTTTAAGGCTGGCTGTTAAAAAATCTCTAGAGTACATTACCTAATGAACACTCAGAGTGTGTCCTGTTCTTGGCAAATTTGTAACACCAGTTGTGCATTATAATGTCACTAATTTGTGAATTTGAATTTATATACACATGTAAAAATCCCTTTTTAACGTACATACCAGCTGCTCAAGGCCTGGAAGTTTATCAGGATTATCTTTGTATTTTCTGGATGTTGGCCAAGTTTTTATCATCACAAGAGCAGGATCCTCACTGTCCAGTTTTCCATTATCTTTGTATCTCTGGATCAATCTTTGAACTCGCACCTCATTCATAGCAGTGCTCCATGACAGTCCTTCACTCTGTTTCTGACGAACCTTTATAAATGATTGTATCCGTGGGTTAACAAGCTGTTTTCGGTTTTTTTACTAAAGGTTTTGTTCTTGAGTTTTCAGCTAAGATTTTCTGCGGGCATTACCCTCAATTTTTTTCCTTCAAATTGTAGAGCAAAAAGCTCTATTTCAACCGACAGTTTGTTTCGAAATCATAAATAACAAAATCATAAAATTTTTAATCAATCCAACTGAAACAGATTTTGAGGTTATGTACCTTTCTAGCCATCATAACAGTAAAAAAGAAAGAGGCTTATATTTAAAGACGTCCTCGGATCAAACATTATCTACAGTAAAATGCTGATTGTGAATTAAATGATAAAAAAAATATTACACTGAATTCGGAAAGGTAAATTCCATATTAGACAAATACAATGGGTTATTCAATCTGTCTCTTATTAATTTTTCTCTCCAACAAGAGCACCACTTGTCAGTGTAAAACTTTTTTGACTAAGTAAGTGTTAAATTATAATTTTTTTGGACACAGAGTGGCTTTCTTACCTTGACCCAAAACTCTCTGTCAAATTCATCTTCGAAGAAATCGTCTTGTTTGACAACTTCACTCTGAGGTTTTTCTTCGTTATTCCCTTTCTCTTCAGCTCGCTCTAACAACTCTTGGTCCTCTCGTTTCATCTCTGAATGGAAATGATAAGATTTTATCTCCAAACAGTACAGCTTTGCCGGACTCTACTAGTAATTTTCCAAACAGCTGTTATCGCAGTTCCGCGAACGGACTCTGATTCAAAATTCCTGGAGAGGTTTCACTTTCCAACCTCGAAACAGTTGACTTTTATCCACAGCTCTAAAAAATTGCACACATTGATGTGATCTGAGAGAGTTAGCTCTAAAAACATCCATCACAATCTAAAACATGCGATCAACATCAACAAACAGCAACCGTGGTGCGAATATTCGCTAGGCGGTACTTCATTACTGAGTTAGAGTTCAACTGAAGACTGGGACCTAGTTTCACAAAGGGCAGAAATCAACCTCGTACTCACTCTGAGGCGACCCAACTGAATACATTTGAATGAATTTTTCTGCATAATTTTTTAATTATGTCGAATCCAGATAATTCATGTATAATTTATGACTAATTTCTCGCCAACCGGTTTTTAATTTGTTCGGAACAAAAAGATTAGCCTTGTTTATTGGCTGCTTTTAAATGTTTGTTGACACCTCTTTAATCATTTTTGAAAGCAGAGCACTTGAAATAATTAAAGTCGTGATGTGGTAAATTATTTGTGATCAGTAGCCGTGATATATTTCTTGGCCATTCAAAGCATAATTTAAAGAACTATGGAATATTGAAGCAGTTTTGTCGCATGTGGTTTATATAGGGAACAAAGGTGTGTTTGATTTCCCATCTAAGATTTAAAGAAGTGGAAATTCCTTCGAATTATTTAAGTTTACAGACGGAAATTCATTATTGTTACACTTGACGAGCGTGTTTATCTGTCTCAGTTGTCCACACGTTCATCACTGAAAATGAAATGCGTTTTGTTCCTGTATTCTGAAAGCGACAGCGCTAAAGCTGAACAGCTTAAGGATTACTTGCAAGGCAAGCTGCGAAAAGTGGCAGATCTACGAAATATCACCGACATTCTGGCAGAGGAACAGGATTTTAAGAAAGAACTTTCTAGCAGCAGCTGTGTTGTGTTGACAGGATCTCGTCACGCATCGTCTCTTATTTAAAACGAACTCCAAGAAATCGAAGATGATTTTATCACTTTCGACGGTAAAGTGATACATGACGAGTTCACAGGAAGCAAAGAACTCGTGGACAGATTGGTGATAGTTTTCTTCACCGAGAGAACCAAGAATGATTGGATTCCGACTGGCTTGGATGAAAGAAGAATATTTAACCTGCAAGGTGAAGAAATTCAGAGAGGAAATCCTTCGCTGGACCATCTTGAAGATTGCATTAAGGGAATTTTGACTGGCAAAACTCGCGTGTAATTTTTGAGACAGGAATATGAGATATTGTAATGTCTCATATATTTCAAGGAGCTGAGAGCCGATTAGCTAAGACTGAGGTAGACTTTTAGAACCAAACCATATCTGTAAGAAAAGGTTTTAGTAATAAACAGCGGCCCTGTGTGTTAAGTTGAATCCCGGCTGGACATATTCATATGCGTCAAGATAAGAAGGACTTTACGCTTGGTCTAACTTTCTAACTTCTCTTACCATTTTAGACCGAGTTTTGAGCGTGTGGTGACAAGTAAAATTCGATCAATGAAATTTCACGGTACTCGAAAAATAATTCTATCGTTATTGTTTTAGAAAAGGAACTTGGCGAGGCCGAGGGAGCAAAGTTTTCGTACGTCGAACATTTTTTTGCCATTGTTTTATTCATTTATTTTTTACCTCAACAATCTGCCTTTTAGAGCCAATTACTGCGTTAATTTAGAACATAGAAAGCACATTCGGCGGTTTCTTTATCGCAATCGTCCATACAACCAAATAATACAATCCGTAGCCTTTTCTTAAGGCACGACAACTGTACAGTTTTGAGAAGCCCAAGTACGAGAGGTCCACGGCCCGCTTGAACTTAAAAGAGACACTGGAAGCGAGGTTCATGGTAACGTCACCAATTTCATTTAAATCGATTCTTTATAATCGACCCAATGCAACAATACTGGGCTTTGTAATCCTACCAGAACGAAAAAGCCATATAGATGGTCCATATTTCAACGTACCATGTATGTATCATGATCTGAATAACTCTGAACAGATACTAAAAGTATACTTAGAATGCTTCATAAAATTGAAGAAATAAGAAAATTATCTTTAGATCTATCATAGCAAAGTGTGTAACTAATAAAAAAAACATTGATATGGCAAGAAAACCATGACCTGGACATTCATAAAAGATTTAAAGAATGCGCGCGATCGGAATTGGTCAATTTTCTCTTCTCTGTTCGCAAGTTCTGTATGTAAATAAAATGACAATCATTCTAAATTCTGTCGTCTCGTCGAGAGTACCTTTCAACAATATCTTAAGCTCTTTCCTCCAAATTTTATTGTCTTTACAATTTCATACCATCTATTCTTTTCAAACACTCGGTTGAGCTAAGAGCGTAACTGTCAAATAAGTGCACGTGTATTAATTGAAGAAAACGATTAATACGCACAAGTACGATTAACTAACAATGTCCATCACACTGAAATACTTGAAATGGGCGTTCAAGAGCAATCAAGTTAAAAAGCCCTTGCTGGTGCTCAGTACAGGAAGTCATCACCAAGCAATATTTTCTTCATGCGGTATTCAAGGTGAGCTAAGGTGGGACTTCCGTCGAGAGGAACTTTTCCATCTTCCAGATGAAACAGTCGCTTTTCATCAAAACCAGTCGGTATCCAGTCATTCTCGGTTCTCTCCATGAAGTGAATGATGATGAGTCTGTTCCTGACAAGTTCTTTGTTTTCTGTAAACTCTTCTTGTATGACTTTTCCGTCAAAAGTGATGAAATCGCCTTCTTTTTCTTGCTGCTTGTTTTGGATGAGGGACAGAGCTTGGTGTGACCCGATCAAAACGACACATTCACTGCAGCGGAGTTCCCTCCTGAAATCTCGATCCCTCGCCAAGATGTCTTTGATATTTCTTACATCTGCAATCTTTCGCAACCTGCCTTGAACATAATCCATAAGTCGCCTAGCCATAAAGCTATCGCTTTCAATATACAAAAACAATGACAATTTCATTTTCGACGCGATTTACCGCACAGGGGTACAAGCGAATTGAATTAACCAGCTTTGAATCTTCCGGTTTAAATCTTTTAGGCAGGAAACTAGAAATGTGTTCACAAATAAGCCAGCTAGTGACTCTTTTACAACTATAATATATGCCAGATGCAAATGTGTGAACTGCATTTGAAATGAATAACACACAATACATGAGAGATGTATCCCCATAAAGCAGTTCTTAAGATTTACATAAATACCTAAAATAAATAAAATATATCACGACTCGTGCTTTTCCGGAGGTCCGAAACTTTCCAAAATAATAAAGGCATTTGGCACGCCCGCCTTGGTCCGTTTTTAATGGAATTTCTTTTCTTTTTTGTTGTTTTCTTTTTTTTTTAATGCACGCAGACCTTTTTCTATTGTAAATCGTTAATACATTCTTTCTCAACGTTCACAACTCTGCCTATGAATACATATTTTGGGCCCTTTTGACATTTCTAGAATTGTTAAGCATGGGGCATGTACAATAATGTATTATGCACTGCGAATCGCTTTCCTTTGTCTCCGGGACAATTCCAAGCTAATGAATAGAACTGTGTTGAAGCCATCTAACATCCCTCGGGCCGGGGTCATTGTTTTGGGGAGAGGAAGGAAGAATTAATTGAGACACTGATAATCGAAAAATTATTCGTGCGTTTTTCAACCTGGGGGTTCGTTCTTCTAAAGCGAAAACACCATTTATCCTTTTGTCTATTGACACCATCAATCATTTCTTTGTTTCCTCTTTTCCTTTTCACATGGTGGAAAGTCAGGGATGGGTCGTCAAAGAAGTATTGGGAGACTGTTAGCTCAATGGATAGAGCGCTGGACTGATGTGCGGGAGGTCGAGGGTTTGAGCCCCTGCTGGACCAACACTCAAGGTTTTAAAATAATTGAGATGAATATGCTGCCTTTCTATAACATCAAGAAATGGTTTAGATATTCTAGACTTCTCGGATACGGACGAATAAATGGAGGTCCCGTCTCCTGCAGGGTTAGGGGTAGGAGACGTTAATTTCCCACGCACGAGATTACTACGTGATGGATGTCCACCCCTGGGGTGGGATGGGTGGGTTGTTGTCTTGCGTTTCATACATGAGCCTCTGGCTCGGGCAATATGGGTAACCATGCCCCACGTAAAGACATTAAACTTTGATTACTATTACTATTACTATTACTATTACTATTACTATTACTATTACTATTACTATTACNGAGGGTTTGAGCCCCTGCTGGACCAACACTCAAGGTTTTAAAATAATTGAGATGAATATGCTGCCTTTCTATAACATCAAGAAATGGTTTAGATATTCTAGACTTCTCGGATACGGACGAATAAATGGAGGTCCCGTCTCCTGCAGGGTTAGGGGTAGGAGACGTTAATTTCCCACGCACGAGATTACTACGTGATGGATGTCCACCCCTGGGGTGGGATGGGTGGGTTGTTGTCTTGCGTTTCATACATGAGCCTCTGGCTCGGGCAATATGGGTAACCATGCCCCACGTAAAGACATTAAACTTTGATTCCTATTACTATTACTACTACTATTGTTAGCTGTATTAATTATCTTTTCTTCCTTTCTTAATATTTCAATTATTTTGTTTCCGTTTTTTTCTCTAAAAATCTTTTGGATCTGTTTTCAATGTGATGCTCAAATTCGTAACCAGGCGCTTGTCGGGTTTTTGGCCTGAAGGCCCATAAATCCCTGGTGATGAGCTGGATCAAGGCCTCCAGTCCCTCCAGTATTGTTTTTGAAACTGCAAGTCAGTGAGAGAGTGCCAACCTTGAAGTTAGATAGTGGAAGTGAACAGGGTGCATATTCAGTGCATATAATTAATAAATGTGGCTGGTGTTTAAAGATTCAGGAATGAGTAATGGAGAGCATGGGTTAAAGCGCGCTGAAAAGGACAACGAAGGACGAGATCAGCATCGTGAATTTTTTCATCGCCGTCGCGGTCACCAGGGTGAATATTTGTTAGAGGATGAGTATGACGAAGAGTTCTGGATTAAGGTAAAAAAAACCAGTGTCTAAATTCATTTGGAAATTTTTTCGAGCAATGTATTGCCATACAATTATTCCGTTATTGAGGAAGCTTCACTCCTTTAATTTATCAAGGTTCACGAAAAGCAGAACAGAGGATTGTCGTGGAACAGAGCTATGGATGAAGTTCGCGTTGAAAGACTGATTCAGACCTTCAAGGGTAGTGGAGAAAAGGACAGTGAAGACCCAGCTCTTTTAATCTTAAAACAGTGGCCAGCATCTGAACAGTACATAGATAGTCCCGAGAAACTGGCAGGACTTGAGCAAATGGTCTGTATTTATACATATATATTTCGGAAGTCTGCGTCTTGAGTTTTCCGTGTTACAGTGCTCGATACATAAAGTGGAGCGCAATATATGCTGATATATATGTATATATATATATATATATGAAAACTTTCTTAGACTTTTTATTTGAGTGTATGTCTTTCTTAGCTCGAAGTTGTCCGTCCTCGTGTACTACAATATTTTTCCTATATATATATATATATTTTTTTTAACTTTATTTCAGCTTACATGCAGGGACTTGATTAACTGCCTTTCTTTTACCCATAGCACTAGATTGTATCTTATTTGCAATACTATTTGTCTTTAAGATAAATCGATTTTTGGATATTCTTTTGGAAAGTGAACTAAGCCAAGGAAACAGATACAAGGCGTTCCGAGACGAAAGCGATAAGTCAAGAAAGACATTGCTACATTATGCCGCAGAACTTGGCTTTCTACATGTCTCCAAAACGCTCGTAAAGAAATGTCCTTTGCTGCTTACCATGACGACAGAAGCTCAAGTTATACCTGTTAAAAAGAGAGCCATGTTGCCCCTTGAACTGGCAATAGTAGCACAGAAGGATGATGTGGCAGAGTTTTTGATCAGAGCCATGCGGCATGAAAGGTAGAAAACAGACTAGCAATGTGGTGAAAATGTGCTGAAATGCATTTTCTTAATGAAAGAACTAAAGAAGCAAGGGCATGTTCTAATAGACATTGATTTCTTCTCTCCTGAAGCATTTAAATTTCCAAAATTTGAAAGGAAGCATGTATTGCATGTATAAATTTCTTGGTGTAAGCTCTATACTCCAAACAAAATTCTGAAATACATATTAAGGTTACAATATTGAGAGCCCAACTACTAAGAATTGTTTAGGGTAACCTTGTTAACCAGTGGACAGCATCAATACTCACTTTCTTGGTGATTTATTTCTACTGTCATTTTAGAGTCCAAAGCTTATTTATCTGGAAACCAGATGAAATCACAAGTCCTGAAGCATCCTTCTTCAGTTTCAAGGCAGTTATTGGGAATCCTAAAATGAAGGTGTGCATCTTTTAGTTATCAACCTTTGCACAGAC